CTGTGGCCGGCTCCCCGGGGCCGGCGGTGCCGTCGCCCCCGCCTGGTGCACCACCCGAGTGCCGGAAGATGTCCACTCGGACCCCGCTGCCCACAGTGAACGAGCGCGACACGGAGAACGTAAGTGTCGGGCGGGGTGGGGCCCCGGGCGGCGCCGAGGGGCTGTGCACGGACCGAGTGGCCGCAGCCGGAGGCGTGAGCGCGGGCGCGGCCGGCCCGAGGGGACCCTCTTGCACCGCTGCCTGCTCGCCTGGCCAGCGCGCCGAGCCGGACCGCGTTCCGGGGGACGACGACGAGTGGTGGCGATCCCTCCGGGAAGGAGGTTCGCCGGCCGGCTGCGGGTTCCGATCCGGCCTGTCGGTGTCGTCCGGGAACAGCACGAACTTGGCCCGCACTTCCCCGACCTGCCCCTCGCGTCGGGACGCTGCTGGCGGCCGGACCCCGCGCCCGGCGGTCAGGAAGGTCTGGAGGCATCGCGGCCTTGTGGGCTCGGGTAGCTTTATTTCCATCTTCCAGAGGCCACTTGCTTGGAGAAAAGTAGTCCGTTTACGTAAGCCGGGGTCAGCAGCCCTGGCACCCCGAAACGTGTCGTGTGGCGGGGAGGGGTGCTGCGCCCGGGAGTCAGAGGTGCGGTGGGAGGCCGCCTGCACCTGAGGTGGGGGGAGGGTGAGTCATAGCCTAGCTGGGGTGCTCTCCCAGCCCTGCTCTGCAAGAACCTATCCCGGCTTGATCATTTCCCTCCTCTTTGGCCGCCCCGAATGTGGATGGAACCAGCCCGAAAGTGAGTGGGTTAGCTCTGATCTTGACCTTCGCCCAGAGCAGCACAGAACCTTCCTGGAACCCAGAGCAGAAGCTCCATGCTCACAGCGAAGCCAGGAACAGCAGGCTTGTAATGATGAGGGGCTTGCCCCAAAGGGGTCTTTCAAATGTACACAGGTAGATCCCCACGTAGGACAGGAGGTGGACATGGTTTACTTGCATCTAGGGATGCATGACCAGGGTGGATGTCTGTGCTGGTTCCCCTGGCTTTGCCCATTCTTCACCACTTCTCTGTTGGGTTTTTTAATTATTTTGTACTGTTTTTTAAAATACCATTAGCTAGTGTTAACCTGGTCCTTAGCGGGTGTGAAGTGTGCCTTTTCTGTATTCTTAATAGAATGTATCTAAAACGGAATTTTTGCCAGTATTAGAATCAGGTTTACACCACAATGTTGCATGCATTCACCAGCGTTGGCACGTGCTGGAAGTAACTCTTTCACCTGAGGTGTCTATAATTGGTCACATACTATCCGAGTGGACTTCAACATGTTTGAGGAAAAAAACCACCATTTTTAATTCTAACTTTATGACGCTCCCCTTAGGGTTTAAACCACTGCTACTGAAGAACTAATTATTAAACGTGTCAATTGAATGATGAGGGTGCAAGAATGAATGGAAACCTTCAGTGTTTTGAGCAGCCTTTTTCAAAAAAAGTTTTTTTTAAAAAAACGTTTTATTGAGATATAACATTATCCGTTTTAAAGTGTGCAGTTTGATGAGTTTTGACAATTGCATAGTAACTTAACCACCCTCACTACCATTTAACCTCTCTACACAGTCTCCTTTTAGTCCCAGCCACTGGCAGTCACTGATGTTTTCTGTCCCAGCAGTTTTGTCGTTTTTTAGAACATCAAGTAAATGAAATCATAGGGTGTACTATCGTTGTTCCTTACTTTTTTCACTTTGCATGATGTTTTTGAGGTTCATTCATTGTTTTGTATCAGTAGTTAATTCCTTGTTATTGCCAGGAAGTATTTTGTTGTTAGAATATACTTTTAAAAAATTTACTAGTTAATATAAACTTTTTAGCTATTATGATTAGAAGTGTTGTTTTTCTGTTTATCCTAGGGGTCTTGTGCAAATTTTTAAAAAGTGTATATAGTTGTGAAAATATTGCCTATTAGATCTGTAACAATAAAAGGTGGATAATTTGTAATAAGAATAATGTCTTAGGGCAGATTCTATAGAGAAGCACAACTGGTGAAGCGTATATAGGAGGGAGCTTCAAAAAGCGTTTGTGGAAAAATGGAATGAAAAGATAACAGAATTTTCCCATGGACTTTTTGAAGCCCATGTATAAGGATTTATCTGTAGGAAATGGCTCCTGTGCTGGTGGAGGCGGGCAGCCCCAATCTGTGGGTCCAGTGTCAGGCTAGGGTCTCCTTACTTGCAGAGAATGACAAACCCATATCGGAAGTTCAGACAGGCTACTGACCCGTAGCGTTGCAGGAGCTGGTGAATCAGATCAGACAGCAGGCTGTTGGCTCAGAGGACTGGGAAGCTGGCAAATCCCAGAATCATTAGGTCAAATGGCAGGTACCAGGTCTTAAGTCCCAAGAACCAGAGGTCAGATGGTGACAATCTGGATACAAAATCCAGAATGAGAATGTGGTTTGACAGAACATTCATATATACTGAATGCAGGTTACGCCCTTATGGAAACTCCCCTTACTTGAGCAAGGTGGTGACTTGAGCAAGGGTGTGACTCTCCCTTTAGTAAGGGCATGATTCAAGATACACTCCACCCTAATCCTGCCTCATTAACACACAAGTTTAGGATTTACAGAACTTAATTACATAGTACCACAAAGTGGAAGACACTTACATTAGATCACACAGTGGCGGACAATTGCATGCTACTGGCAGTCATGACCTAGCCAAGTTGGCACACAACAGCCCTCGTGCACTACTATATTTTCTTTGGTATATCCAAATGTGGATATCCACTTTTAGCTGATGGGTATATAAAAGAGCATATCATTTTAGGATTTAAGAGGACTAGCTAGCAGTCGGATTTGCAGAGGAAGCTTAGGTTTGGAGAGGTCACAGGAAATATGTACTTGTGATCACTGACTCTTTAGTAACAGCCTCGTCTAGGGCCTAGTTCTGCAGCTCAGTCCCCTCTGCTTTCTTCAGTACCAAGCTGTCTCTCAAAAACTTACTTATTAATTATCAACTAAGGAGATACAGTGATATAACTACACAGCCTCATAGAGATCCAACAGGACATCATTACAGAGTGTGACTAAAAAGTCCTTTCTTTAACAATGGAAAGCTTCACATAAGTAGAAAGTTATCTTTTCTCAACTGATAGTGATATTAAGAAATGAAGCTTAATAAAGGTATTGTATTTACAGTCTTTAGAACACCATAAAAAAACCCACGCCCATTACTATCAATTGATTTCAACTCAGTGATCTTATAGAACAGAAAGAAAATTGGTCCATAGGGTTTCCAAGGCTGAAAATCTTTACCTAAATTTAGAGATCATCTCAAGAACAGATTTAACTTATAAAAACACTAATAACTGAAGACCAGATGAGTTGTGGGATGACATCAGAAGGGCATCCTACAGGAAAAAAGAAAAAGGTCATTTAAATGGAGAGAAAATGTTTTGAGAAACGATGTACAAATGCGCTTTACACAATTGATGTGTGTATGGATTGGGATAACAGTTGTATGAGCCCCTAATAAAATGTTTAAAAAAGAAAAGGGGAAAAAAATAAAATGTTTATTAGAAGAGACTGAAATTTTTTCATGAATGTAGAGAATGTAAAGCAAGTGGAAGAAACAATGAAGTAAAAGATCTTAAGAGATTTCAAGGGGCAAGTTCAGAAGAAAAACTGTTATAATGCCTCTAACCCTAACCTGTAGTTAGAAAACTAAAATAAAACATGCTTGCCATTTTTCAAGCTGAAAGGACTGAAGAACAAAATTCAAGTCTTAAGTTATGATATAGAAGAATTCTATGGGCAAAACTACATAGGGAACATCAAACGGATCTGAAAGGAATTCAAAGCATCACTGTACCAAAAAGAATTGGTTGAAATTTTTCCACTTCAGGAGGTAGCATATGGTCAAGAACTAATAGTATTGAAGGAAGAAGTTGAACTTGCCTTGCGTAGGCAAAAAAAAAAAAAAAAAAAAGCCGGGATCTAGGAACTGATGGAATACCATCTGAAGGTGTTTTCAACCTGTGTTTGTGGTTACTTCAAAGAAAGGCGATCCAACAGAATGTGGGAACTATCAAACGATACCATTAATATTATTTGTAAATAAATTTGCTGAAGATAATTTAAAAACATTTTAGCAGTACATCGAAAAGGAGTTGTTAGAAATTCACATTGGATTCAACTAGAAACTGCTAGACATTTACATTTAATTAAAAAAGGGACATGGAATAAGGCCTAACATTGCTGATACTAGTGGATCTTGGCAGAAAGCAAGGAATACCAGAAAGATGCTTACTAAGTGTTTCTTCTCCCATAAAGAGTTATAGTCTTGGAAACCCACAGGGGCAGTTTTATTCTGACTTTTGGGGTCATTGTGAGTTGCAATCTACTTGATTGCAGTGAAGTGGAATTTTTGTTTGTTTGTTGTATTTAGGGAAAGACATTCGATTGGTGGAGATCTTAACAAATTGCACATAACATTATGGAGACTAGGCATTCCAGAACACTGAATTGTGCTCATGCAGATCCTGTATGTACATAGATCAAGAAGTTGTAGATCCTACCGAATAAGAGAGTACTGCGTGGTTTAAAATTACAGGCGTGTGTCGGGGTTGTATTCTTTTCACCATACTTAATTCAATCTGTATACTGAACAAATAATCCTAGAAACAGGACTATATTTGTAGAACAAGCTAGCTTCAGATTTAGAGGAAGACCTGTTAACAGCTTTTGATAGGCAGATGACAAACCTTGCTTGTTGAAAGTGGAGCACTTGATTAAGATCAAGGCTGCAGCCTTCAGTGTAGATTATACTTTAACATTAAAAGAAAAGGAAAAAAAAGCTTACAGCTGGATAGTTATGATAAAAGGAGAAAAGATTAATTTTGCTTGGGTCCATAGTCAACACCCATGGGTAGCAGTAGTCAAGTACTCAAATGACACATTGCACTGGGCAAATCTGCAAAAGATAATATTTATATAGTGTCTGGAGGCAACAAAAAAGTTTAAATTTTAGTTCTTCGACAGCTGATTTGTTTAGAACATGGACAAATTTCAAGCTTCTGTATTGACAAAATTAGAATTGTACTTTCTACTTAAATCTTAAAACATACAACATTTTGATGGCAA